AAAATATAAAAAATCTTTCAACACCATTTATTTGAATGAAAAGGGATAGAGCTGCATGTAACACAAACACAAGAATGACAGTTATCTGTTCAATGCAATGAGTCAAGGAAATTCAAAACTAATTCAGCTGCTTTTAGATTAGTTTGTGAGGACAGTAATCATCCTCATTTGTGATGGAAAACTCTCTTGTTCACCGTTTATAAATACAGTACACAGAAGAACAAAATATTTTTCTTAGTTTAGGATATGGCTTTCCCTACTAAATGTGTTGTAACAAAGTATCCAATAAGAGCTGGAAATGTCTTCTGTTTAGTACAGCTCTAGATGGTTCTGAAAGTGGGAGATACTGTGAGCAAGGTTATGGAAAGACATTGTGTTGGGAGACGAAACTTGAGAAAAGCAGTTGCAGAAGCCATTTTTTAAAGAGGTGTTGTATGACGATTATGATGTCCCTCCAGTTTTAAACAAATATCAGTCCAACCAAACAGAAAACTGGTGGGCCACAGAAAACAACCAGGGAGCCCTGAGGTCTAATTCCGATGAGTGAAATCTTTATCTTGACAAATAGTATCTTATAGTCACAGAACTCTGAAATCTAGCGGAAATGGAGGAGAATCATAGCTTGTCATCAACTTCAATAACATACCCTTGAGCATGGCTGGCTAAATTAGTCCGCCCGTCTATTCTCTAACTACGTCATTCAATTCAGGGTCAAGGGGAAGCAGGGTAGCAACGGGCGTATGCAGGGATGGCGGAGGGTAGACACACAGGGATAAACACAGACACGTACACACTCACACCTAGGACTAGTTTTTCCAGAAAACAATTAACCTATCAGTATATTGTTCGACTGTGGTAGGAAACCCTTGCGAACATGAGGAGAAACTACAACCTCCACACACATAGCCAACCAGGGCCCTAGAGCTGCAAGGCAGAAATCCTAACCACTGCGTCACTGTGCCACTTTGGCCAGAACAGGGTTAACCAAAAATCCTGCAGCCTCTTCTCTCTCTAACCTTCATCTTCTGCAGCAAAATAAAATAATGCAGACGCAGACAATCTGCTCAGAAACGGCGGGCGTTGGGGCTGAGCTGCCTTGTGATCACCCGTTTTTTTCTCTGACTTCTGTGCCTGCTGAAGCTAATAAGGAGTAAGAGGTGCACTGAAGTAAAATGGCCTTCGAGTGTGTAACTGGCACAACAACCTGAACAGTGCACACCAAAAGCAGGAGACAGGAGCCTGGTAGCTGAGAGACCCACCGAGCCACCTGGAGTAGGGAGTAAGGACAACTGTGATCAGGGCCTGTCTTTGGTCAGGGCAGTCTGTAAGTGAGGCCATCTCATTTCTCCTCCCTCTACATCTTTCCACCTTGTGCCTTCTGGCTGGCAATAGAAACAAAAGATCAAAGAGACAGCCCTCCCAAACACAGATTTTTCCCTTTCACTTTTTTTTACCTCCTCTTTGAACACGTTCTGTGATCAACAGTTAAAGAGCTCTCCAGACTCTGCTGACAATGCAGTCCTTCAGGCAACAGAGCCTTTTGAAATACTGCAGGCACCCCCGGAGAATGCCACTGTGAACAGTGTTGTGCACTGCTTTGGAGTGAGCTCCAGGCCCTGATTTCTAATCTCTCCAGCAGCACAACACCTTGCTCAAGACATCTGGCTGCAGTAGCTGGAAAATCAGCAGCATCAGTACAGCTGGGTGCTAGAGGGGAAATCCTGCGATTACAGTGCAGCCCAGAGGTGAAAAGGTGGCAGATCACATTGTGTATTTGGAGGGAAATGGAAATAGCACTGCCTGAGCTCCCTTACATCCTTTCATCTGCATTTTTAGTACTGTACTATTGTCTCCCCAGCAAATTATGCTTAACGTAGTAGAATAAACATTCAAAAGAGGCCATGAAGAAATGCTTTCCTGGGTCTAACCTGGTCTCTATTCTCTGATATTTCCCTGGTTGGACATTTCTCAATTAAAAGCAGGGTGTAACTTCAAGACAGGGTGACTAAGTTAAAGGCACTGTGTCCTATCACCATGGAGTGCAGTGTATGAAACATTGACTGAGGAACACCTCAGTTTGCCATTGCTGTGCCTTACACACACTTGCAAAATATCCAATGTAATGGATTGTGAACCTTTAATTCTGACAACTATGGGATAATAATTCAGCTCTGGAATGGAGATGAAGCCAGTCTCCTGCAGCACTTGAAGGAACTTTAACGAAGCTCTGCACGGAACAGGCCAAGGGTCATGGAGAAAGTCATGGCTGCTTTTACCCACCCATCACATAACTCCACTGGAGAGTAACTGAAACTTCCATCTCATTCCAGCAGCTGCTGAATGTTCAATTCAACCAACAGAGCTCTGAAAGGCCGATCGTCCTTCAAAGAAAAGGGCCAGGATTCCAGGGTGAGAGGGCAAGGAAACAGCAGACCATTCACAGGGCATCAAACAGCCTACAGCGCAATACAGACAACGAGAAAGAGGACAAGTGCAGGGGGCCGTATAGTCAAGCAAGATAAGGCCGTAATTTTTAATCTTGCATTGTCTTTTAGTCAGAAATGAAGGGCTATTTCATGTATCATTAGCCCAGTTTTTTCTGTTGTATTTTATGAAGAAACAGCAGGGACACAATTGCTCAGCTCTCTGCAGGTCTCCAGGCCAGAGTGATGAGGCAGAAGAAAGACATTGCACTGGTCTCTTGTCTGACTGCTTCACAGATCTCTAACACTATATGCTAACAGCTTGTGAATCAGCAATTGCTGCCTACAGGCACCTGCCTGAATTCTGTGCGCAGTTTGAAGTCTGGCTCCAGCTTAGGAATAACCTTGCTATGTAACTTGTCGCTTGTAGCCATAAGCCAACCAGTAAATAACTACTGAACAAAAATACCCTTAATTCAACGTTCTTTTGAGGACTTGAAAAATGTTTCTGATGAGACAGGAAGTTAGCTGGCTGAGTATGGTCTTTGCATTTTCAAGTGTTCAAATGCGTATGAGACAAACACCAGCAGAATCAGCAAAAAAAAAAAACAGTTGAGTTTATTTCTTGCATTACTAAAACATTATTGATTTATCTTGAAGAGGAAAAGAAATAATAATGATTCCTTACACTTATATAGACCTTTTCTAGACACTCCACCAGACACTGGGGTATCACCCCTACTCTTTTCGAGATGCAGGCTGGGATTTGTAATGGTCACAGAGAGTCAGGACCTTGGTTTCACATCTCATTCAATGGACCGCACTTTTTTACAGTATAGTGTCCCCATCACTATCACAAACTGCGGGGTGAGTGCCCTCTACTGGCCCCACTAACATGTCATCCAGCAGAAACCATAGCTTTCCCAAGAGGTCTCCCATCCAGGTAGAGACCAGGCTCACACTCTTTAGTTTCAGTAGTTTGCCAGTTGTGAATTGCAGGAGTTTAAAGGAGTGAAAAAGTGATAGATGGTCTGTATGTAGGAAAAGTCCAACACTCGCTCTGTAAGATGGGGCAGTTGAACAATGACTTTGGTCACACTGGCTTATTCTTGCCCAACTGATCCTGGCTCAGCGACTGGTCTGCTTCCTGCTTCCAGTTTGGAGAATGTTGGCAGAAGCTGTGCCCCGTTCTGTCTTTGAGTAGACATTACAGTCATTACTTCCCCTCCACCTCCAAAACATAGCCTCAACCAAAAACACACTACATTACAGGCCTGATTTTATACACATAGCATTCGCATATTCAGTACTCCAGCACACATAATGCTCAACATGTACATTTCTAGGTTAAATACAGTGACTGAGTTTGGACAGAATTAGACGCTTGTCTGCTTTCTTAATAAAATAATTCTACTTTCAAAGCAAAAGACTTGAGGGTGGTAATTAATGATGGAATATGTAGCCTTCACACAAAAGTCATATACTGTATGCTAAAAATCCAATATTAGCTATAAAGTAGAAAGCGATAAAAAGTGATTACAAGTGTATAAAGAGGATTTCAGGTTATCTGTTATTCATGTCATGTTGTAAACCAGTCTGATGTGTATTGAGTGTTGTGTTAGACCATGTGGGCTGAACACCTTGAGATCAAACAGTCTGTTTGTGGACTTGGAGGAGCCATCTTACACTGACACCTGCACATATAAGAGAGAAGGAGGAGCCATCTTACACTGACACCTGTACATACTGTATAAGAGAGAGGAGGAGCTAGTTTACACTGACAACTACACATATAAGAGAGGAGGAGCCTAACTTGCTAAATAGTATGACCTTGTTATCCATTTCTTGTGTTTTGTTTCTTTTTAAGCTTTATCGTTACCTTATTTGAACTATTCATTATTGGGAACAGTTTTCTGCACTCTTGGGCTTCTGGAACACTGGGAACTGTACACCGCTTCACAAGCTACAGGAGCTGTCAATAAGCAAAGCAGACCTGTCTTTTCTCTTGAATTAATAAACTGTTGCTCCTGTATGAGCAGGTGGTCGTGTTGTACACACTGAACTGGGAATTACATGCGCAATCAATACGACACCCCATAAGTCCTGCATGGGCCATTTATTTTGGACACGTACTGTACTGTACACACTAAAACAACAGACTTAAATGGGGGAAATTCTGAGACTAAGATCGTAGTGCAGGGCTTATGTTATTACTATTATCCAATTTTCGAAAAGCTGAACGTTATCCAAAAACTGATAGCATGAAGTAGCAAGGCATTCGATTAGAAATAACCAAGAAGTAAGCTGAAAATAAATCGAGAAAGTGTTGAGTTTCCCAGACTGAAAATCCCTGGGCTTTATGATGAGATTATGCACAGGAACCAGCTCTGAACTCTGCATCAAACAGCAAGGCAGTCTAACAGGCACCTTTTAATTTCTGTCTCGTGGGTTATGAGTGGCATTGTCACAGAGATTAGTGACAATGCCACCCATATGCTGCCGGCTTTTGGGGAACAGATATATCATTTGATCTCCCCACTCATGCAAGTGAGTGTCCCATTGCAGGAGTCTCCTTACCTGTCCAGCCATAAACTGTCCGAAACCAGGGGGAAAGGTCAGGGTTGAGACAAGCAGGGTCACCAGAGCAGGATATAAAAGACGTCTGAGAGAAAAAGAGAGATCTGCTGAAAAATTCATTAACACATCACTCAAACTTTAAAATGAAGGTTTCAGAGTGAGCAATGAATTAAGGCCACACATTTTCCCCATTGTTTCACATTTTGTCACCTGATGTCCTCTTATACTAGACTTTGGCCAATTCTCGTGCTAAAGCTCTACTAATTACAAAAACAGCCCCTGAGACTTTTCTTCCCCTCACTTCACAGCTGCTGAGTGGGTCACCTCACCAGTCCCTCCAGCAGAATCCACAAGTACCACTGATCACTCATTCCGGAGCTGTTGAGCTCACGTTGCAGTCCAGCATGTTACTGATGTACTGTAATTGTGTGTTTTCACCATTGAGACATAGAGAATGAGACAGTATTCTGACAGTATTCTTTTGACCACAACAGAGGATTTTGGGATGCACAATAATCACAGGTATGGTATTAAAACAATTATGGTTCATGCCAACAATAAACCTTCTATACCTAAAGGGTATAAAAATACTGTAGGTTTTGCAAAAATGGGTTCTAGTGAAGAGACAATAAGAGTTAATTGCAATATAAAGGGAGGTTAGTCATTGTAAAAAAAATGAATTAATTATGACTTAACATCTGAATACTCTGTACTAGTACCGATTCAGAGCTTGTGTGTTGAGATGTCCATATTTTAACGTGTTTATGTTTTAACAGCAAAACAATCTGCAACTTAATTTTCTTTGCATAGTGTTTATATAGACAAAACATTTTTGGTTATACTTTCAAAGCTTTGCAAAACAAACCTCAATGAGACAAAGAACTGAATAAAAATGCAGACCTATTTAATAGTGGATTACACTTTCTACTTTTAGAATGAAGGTGAGTACAAAACTGCCCTGGGATAATTAAAAACAGGACAACTAAACCAGACTTACTTTTTCATCAAAAACTTGTTGATGGCTTTTTGCTTCCTGATGAACTGAACAATCAGTCTGTTCAAGTAAACAAAGAGAGCTCCTCCAAAGCCACTGGCAATCCTAGAAAAAAGATGGACAGGTAGAGAGAAAGAGAGTCTTAACACAGACAGAGAGCGTGTCAACACCTGTGGGATACTTCAGAGAAACCTTAGAAACAGGCAACAAAAAAGTAAAAATGCAGAAAATAAACAACATTTAGATTAAACTGAGAAATGAGTATAAAAGAGTAAAAACTTACATTCTGTAGGAAAACATACCCCGTCTAAAACTGATCATTGCTTTGAAAGTGATAAAGAGAAATATTTTCATATTATACCCTTATTTGCCTAGAAGGCTTACTGTATCTCATGTTTTTTTTAAATATTAACCAAATATTTAATAATGAAAATAATATCAAATACTGTACAGTTTGGGAAAAATTACATGATTTGCTGCGGCTAATTTCACATGTAATCCATTATTTAATCAGATTAGTAAACTGTTTACACATTCTTATTTACAGTGATGATCCACTAGTGCTACATGAAGATCCACTAGTATATCAGGGCACTTAAGTGAGGTTCTGGCAACAGTTCAGAGTTAACTAACCATATTCATTTCTCTAACAGAGCAAACTGTTAAAGAAGAAGTAGAACATCTACATGAAGATGAGAGACATTTTACAGGTAACACTTGCAGGTTTAGGCTGCTTTTAGAAGTTAGGAGTAACCACTGATAATCGAAAACATGGAGACGGATATTATCTCAGAACATATCACAATTGTGGGAAGAAAAGGCACCCAAAGAGACTTCTCGTTCCGCTTTGATTTGAGCTGATTTATAATGCTATTCCCAGAACCAACAGCAATGGCTTTTTCCTCTCAAAAACACATCAAAGCTTCTTTTAAGACACATTTGTAAGCCCATTTCACTGGTCAAAGTTAGCTGTGCCTTGCTAATGAGTCCTGACAAGGGTGAAAACACCTGTGTCTTATCCTAACTTTAATTTTTTTTATGTGACAAATGGAATTAGAAGCCTCTCTAGATGGTTCTCTGTTCAAGGATTGTGAAACGGATGAAACTAATTAATATTCACATTCCTACAGTATAATAGACAGATAGAATAAAGCTCTTCAGAGTCACGGTATTCTTGGTCCCTAAGGAACACTAGTCTTCAGGTCTGAATTCTAAATATCTCACAAGTGCCCTACTTTGAAAGTGAAGCTGGCAGCCCCTTTGCACAACAGCATGCATCTTTTATTGAGTTTAGACAGCCAGTGAGCTCAGTATAAATCACTCGTTTACATCTGTGTCTTCTGTCAATGCAACTTCACTGTCAATCATATTCAAACGCCTATTCTTCTAGTGGCAAATCAAACTTGTCAGGTTTCAAAACACAAAAAGACTGTCCTACACTATCAAAATGATATGATCACTGTAGACGGTCTCACTGTAGTCAATGGAAGGAATTAACTGAACAGAAGGAAATCTGGAAACATCCCAAAGCAAATAACGTTGAACAACAAACGCTGTCCTTACAAAACAATAATGTTAGAAAGGCAGGTATTCGGGAATTGAGTAAAGGATGAATCTGCTGGATCTCTGTCTGTCTTTTCATTGGGATGGGGTCAGGGGTTAATCTGAGTCTATCTGAGAAGATCTGCCCCTTAGCATTCAAAGGACAAGCTGCAGATTGCAAGGATGGACTAGAAGGGTCCAAAACATATGGATTTCAAGATTAAAAAGGAAAGGGTAGAAATGATTTCACAGACATCCAGTGCAGGAACTTCAGCACAGGAGTGAGCTGCTCAGTGTACTCCCTGGGAGTGGTTGAGCAGAAAAAAGCAGATGGTCTTTGCAACTGTTACAAGGTCCAGCAAAGCAAGAATCACAGCTTTATGCATGTAGGAATTATGACTGTGTAGACAAAAGCTTCACCATTTCTCAGGAGGAAAACTAGACAGTCTGACAATGGTGTTCAGATGCTGGTAGCAGAGTACTGGGGTTTATTGCAATTTTATTCATTCTGCTAACACTATCTCACATGCTAAACACATGACCAGCATGTGTTAGTGTTATCAGCACCTCCACTGGCTACACATATGAGAGATTCCCATCAGCAGGAAAAAGCTAAAACGTTTCTTTAGTGTCCAGGTCTGAAACTGCTGAAGGTATACACAGTAGACATTGCCTGACACACATATTGTGGCTTTAAACAGTATCAGTTTCCACCAAACAAAACGAATGAATTTTCAAGTTTTGTGAAACTTTTAAGAGCTTCACAAAAGAAGTGTAGTTTATGTAAATTTTCATTATAATAAATTAATAATTATTTCAGATTGCAAAGAACGCAAATGTTCCTTAAAATTTTATTAAATGCCCACATGGTACTCCAAAACCAGACCTGCACTTCCCTGTCCATCAAACTGAGTCAAGAGAGGAATGAGAAGTACAGTATGTTACATGCGTGCTGTCCAAAGGACACTGACACTGAGGTTTTACATCTAGTTCTCTTGACTAACCCTGTTCCCGGTAAGATACAAAATTGTAAGCATTATAAGGCACACCCCTTTCTCAATCCTTGGTAACAAAAAAACATTTTTGATCAATTTAGTAAACATTACAGTACAGTGTGTTCAGTTAAGTCAGGAATGGTCAGTTCTTGAACATGAGAATTTTCTGGGTGATCAAATATACTGTATATGGTGAAGGATCTGTGAACTATTTTACTAATGAAATTATGTGCTTAGCTGGTCTATAAGACTTTCCAAATCTTTTAAAGGATGTCATCAATGAACCCTGCTAGTTTCTGGCTCTCTAGCAGAAGAGTTTGATCCTCTGAAACACCAATGATGTTAGTATGATTCTTATGTCCCTGCACAAATGCATAATAAAACACTGAGGCAGAAGGCATTTTTGTCCGTGTAGGGATTAGATAACTACATTGCCTCATTCATTTCAACTGACAGATTGAAATGAACTGACTGATTTATTTTTGAAAATCAGGAGTAGTCAACTGTACCCCTTGAACGCCACAGTCCTGCAGGGGTTAGTTTTCAATTTACGACTGATTAAACCCAACCAAACGCGAGATTCCGACTTCCGAGTCAAATAATTAGCTAAATCAAAAATTTAAAAATTTCTAGCTTTGCATTTCTTATCATGCCTGCATACACTCTTCAAAAAGAATGTCGTGGCTGTGGAAGAAAGTGCAAGAATCAACAATCTGACCTAACAGAATAAACGTACATGCATTGAGCCACAAGTTAATCATCTGTCATATGACTTGAAATAAATTCACATTGATCTTGTAAATGAAATCTTCATCCCCCAGACGTGAAAAAAAAGCTAATGCTCCAGACACTAGACACAAGAGCACTGCCTCCAGTCTCCTCCACTGTTCTCTGAAGTCGAAATGCTTCTTATCAATTATTACTGTTGTTCTCAGTAGTTTTGGGGGGATTTTATGAAGGAGTGTTTGAAATTGTGCATGAGGAAAAAGTTTGATTTAACAGGTGATGGCTGTAGAGAAAAGCTGCTACCAGCTGCATGCTGAGAGCCCAGGGATTGTAATCAGAGACTCATTGTTAAGCAAGGGAGCTCAGATTGTCTCTAGTAAATAAGCACTACCTGCTGAGAGACATTTTCACTTCAGGCATGGACACAATTATCTTTCAATCTTTCCAAAAAAAAACAAAACTCATATACAGTATACTCCTAACTCTGCCTGTCTTACCACCTCTATAAATACGGCTATTGAACTAAGTCAAAAATATAAAATAAAAGATAAAAGCTCAAGTGAACAGAAAAAAACAACAACAGAAAGCAAAAGAAAAACTCCTGACTTGCTATAGGAAACATCGAGTGCCTGCCTTCCACAGATCAAATTAACTACTGCATCCATAAAGCACCAACACTGATGCCAGGGCAATCACTCAGGAGAGGCCATCAAGCGTAGAGAGAGACATTCTTTGACATCTACAGCAATGACAGGTCAATTATGAAGGCTTTCTGTACATTATGCCACTGCAAAATGAAACAGAAAACAGTCCATTTCAACAAGAAAAAATGCTCAGCTGTCGAAAGTTTCATTTTCTTTTTTTAATGTACCACAGCGAAATTCTCAACGGAATATAAAAAAATAAAACCGCAGCTAGACGGCCAGTGCTCTGACCTGGATGAGCTCAACAGGCCATAACTGGCTTAACCTGAACAGAGTTAACAGCTGTCTCTTCAGAGGTGCCCACTGTACACCTGAGGTGTGAATCCGATCACAGCATGGAAGCACCTGACTCCACAGAAGTAACACTGTGAGGCAGATTCATAAAGGTAATGCAAGGTAAATGCACGAAAAAGGAGTTCTTTGACAGTTCTTTGAGATTTTGAATCCTCACTCCATCTTCCTTAGAGCCACTGGCTATCAGGTTGCCAGTGGGAAAGTAGACTCCAGACAATGCTCTTGTGGAAAAAACATAATACATACACACAAACAAAACCACACCTGAATAGAAACAAAAAATAGAAAGAAAACACACTTTGTGCCAACGTGATACCAACGTGCCGCTTAATGTATTGGCTTCATACTAACAACACACACGTATTTAGGTGCATGTTTACACATTTTTGTTATGCTTAAAAAATTGGAACTTGCTTTAGAACAGCAATTGTTTGTTCTAAAACAATTTTCCATGTTTACAAATTAAGATTCATTCTAAAACCATCAACTAAGAAGCAAAATCATGCCTACAATAAATACTAAATCTTTATGCATACAGATCCCCTTGTCCCCGTGATTGATAAGATAAACTTCCTCATGACTCCATGACTTGAGCTGCAATGCTGTAAACTTTGACCTCAAAACGAGATACAAAAAGCCCTCACCTCAGATGTTCTGCATTCATTTGCACAAACAATAGATTTTCTCCCACCTGTTGACTTTGTATTCAATCAGTTGTAGAAGAATGACAAAACACATCTTTCTTCATCTTTCACAAACAGCTACTGTATTTTACAGAAATTGTTTCATTTTTAACATCTGTAAACTGTCATGTGGAAAATCTTACGGTTAAGAAAATTATGATTTTATATATGTGGCTGATGAGCATAAAACTTCCAAGATGAGTAAACAGTTTGAGTTAATGAGACCTCTGTGTAAACAGCTGTCATCTCATTATCTCATCAATGGATTAATTACAGATGAAACACCTGCATGCTTATTTTAAAACTAGCAAGGTGCCTGAACTAAGAATTGTGCTTTGAGAAGTGTCTTTGAAAGGCATTTAATCTATTACCCACAGCATTGAATTGAAACTGACGCTTTTCTTTACAGCAAAACCACTCCCACAGATATACTAACCCGATCCTGTTGGTGGTGAATATCTTCTTTTATGTACAAGTTAACAATGTTTCAGGGTTAACCAATATGCACCACTGTAGTGTAATACTATATTGTGTTTACCAGTCCAGTCTCTGTCAGTTGTGAATAGCTGTTCTGCTACCCCCATCACTTCTTTTATAATTCAGGGGCAGGAGATTAAACTCAGCTCTTCAGATCTTGAAGTAATTTCTGCCTAAAAGTGTGCTCCCAGCAGCACTTGTCTGGAAGGACATGGGAACAAGATTTTTGGCATTGAAGCAGATGTCACAGGTGTTGATGTACTGTAGGAGCATTATTTTTTATTGGCTCAGGACAGTAGTGTTGCCACTCATACAGATGTGAAGTGTGACAATGCACCCTAGCTTCACATCTCCAGTCACCTGTCCACCACAGCCCAGACAAGCACCACTGTGACCTGTACCACTGAGTGTTTGAGCCCTGCTGAATCCCTGCTCTACATTGTGAAGAGACAACATGTGACACAACAAGACCTGGTTTACGGGGCTTTTAAAAAAAAAAACTACTGAAACTGACCAAACTTCACCATCCTCTCCAGCAAAAACTCCTTCCTCACCCACTCCACTGACCCACCCCATCCCCAGACACATTCGCTGCCAGTCCTACCCAATCACTGCAAAGGCTGGAAGCTCCTGGAGGTCAAAGGGGAAGTCCAGGCGGAAACGGGTTTTGAATAGTGCAGTGATGGTCTCTGGGGAGAAAGCAGAGACTTTGATGAGTCCTCTGACTCGCAGATGAGACCTGAATCATCAATTATTTAACAATGCTACAAAACAATCTGTGAAAAGAGAGCTGATGAGAACTTCACTAATCATAACACACACATGCTTTTGTCTGAAAGAATCCACCCTTGCTCTGGCACAGATTAGCTGCTTACTTGCACGATGACCCTCCGATGTGGACAACAAAGTTGGATCTCTACAGCTCAGTGGTGCATCACAATTGCACCTCTGACGTTAGGTGGGATGTTACAGAGCACTTTATTATGGATATTAGGAACATGACCTGAATAGATCACTGAAAATCTTGATTGGAGAAGCCACCTGAAAGTTTAAGATTCAGTTAACACAAATAAGAGAATATGAACAATTGTGGGGCAGATTTCCTCTATAGCAACTGGAAACTCCCAATAAAGTGCCTGTTGCATCCTTCTCTGGAATCCCTGCATTGAATCCAGATACATAGAAAAAGCATTAGGAGTGTTTTGACCATCTCTGATGGCATTTATACACATCCTCTAAAATTACTGGTTCTCCTCCTGTAGACTGTGTGGCTCAGAATTTGCTAAACTACTTTTATTGCACTCTACATTCTGCCTTTTGTGCAAATATTTTAAGGTCACTGGCTGTACATTATTCCGAGCCAACTAAATAAACAATTTAGGAAAATTAACAAAAAGGCTTTATAACTACACCTTGGAGTTCAAACTAAGGCATCTTTTTTGTTGGGCTATCGATACACATTTTCAGTGGAATCTCTCTGATCTTTTTGTTGGATCTTCATTGCCTTCAATAACTCTCCGCGCATTTCAATCAGTGATCATGGTCACACTACTATACTGTCTCTATCACTGTGTGAGGTAATCTCTGTTGCAGGATCTGACAGCTTATTAAAGACCAGCTGACAGGGTCATACTGCTGAGATGCCTAAGTAACTTGAGCGTGGGCTATCACTGACTTCCAGCCCACTGAATAGAGACATAAACACACACACAGTTCCCCTTTGTAAAACTGCACTTGAGTAACTCAGTTGAATTTAGTTTTCATATGCACAAGTGCAATATGTTCTTCCCCAGAGCCGTCAAGCTGGTGACGCCCCCACTCCCTCCCATCACACTATGATCTTTCCTCAATTCTTCCTGTACCCACATTGACTGTACTCCAACACCACTACATACACGACAACTGTAAGTCGAAATTGTACTTAAAACTGTTGCTAGTTGCACTATTTATTACTAGTTGTAATATTTATTAATCACTGTATTATTTTTGCACTGTTCCCCAAATTACTTTTGCACTGCTTTTGTCCTGTTGTATACTTTTCTGTCTGCGTTTTTTGCGCAGTTTTGGATTACACTTATTATTGTTATTGTGTTACTGTGGATGCTGCACATTGGTGATGGTGGAGGGGAGTCCCCATTACCTGTAAAGCGCTTTGAATGGAGTTCCAGAAAAGCGCTATATAAGTGTAAGCAATTATTATTATTATTAAATTATTGTCGTCTTCTGTTCTATTTATATACTGCACCTGAGAGGCTAATGAGAAACACTTTTCACTATACTATGCACCCATGTAAGTATAATGACAAATAAAGTTGAACTGGAGGTTTGATCAGTGAAATGCTTATTTGCATGTGTGCTCCAATACAAAGACAAATACATTTATTTGGATTCACCAAAAGTAAAAACACAGCATAAGAACAGCAGCAGCAGCAACAAACAAGTTAAATAACATAATACATTAAAAAAACAAGTCAGATAAGCAGCATGAAAAGAGAAAAAAAAACATCAGAGCATGCTGGCTGTACTTTTACTTAAGAAAAAAAACAAAGACATCAACAAAATTAATGAAGAAAACGTGCACATACACATACACCCAACAGCAGTAAAATGAGATTCTTCAGTCTCCATCAGATTCAGATTCAGGTTAAACAAAAAATAGCTGGTTAATAAATAAGACACACAATGAGTCAGAGATAAAAGACTATGTCATAAAAGAAGCAGACCGACAGGCTTAGTGCTTCATCACCTGTGACTCATTCAGAGACTTCATTGTTAATCAACCAAGTCCAAGCCAGGCAGCGGAATGGCGCTGTGCTAAAGACAAAGATCTTCTCTTGTGAAAATACTAAAGACACGATGGGCAGCAAGGGTATCGGGAGCACAGTCACAACATGGATGCAAAGATGGAGGCCAGCGCCACTGCCTACAGAAGAATAATTGATCATCCAGCACTAGAAAATTAAAATTTGTTAATATGTGTACATTTGACTGGGGGTTACAGTAACTGTTTATGGGGGCAAACCTCATTACTGGTGCTTGCCACCGGGCACAAGTTCTGGAGTCGTAACTGTGCGAAGCAGAGGTTCTCAGTGATCACGGAGCTCAATGTTAGTTAAATAAGGATGTCCAGCACAGGCGTTAGAACTGTATTTGCACCATATTAGCTGCTGCTTCACTTGTGTCTTTGAACGTGCAGGGAGATGAAGCATGTGGAACACACTTCCCACTTCCTGTTCCTAAGATTCAGAGCCTCTGATTTTCATCCCAATTTAGCTCTGAACTGAACTGGAATGATAATTTCCTGGTTGTAATTCAAGACTTGCCAATAGTGTCCCAGCAGAGCCATATTCCAGCAGGCGATCCAGCAAATCATAGTTCATCCATATAAATCAGCAATTTTGTAAAGACCTGGAATATGTGTAACAGTTTAATCAACTTAGTCAGTTAATTAGCTCAATTAACACTGGAGTCATGACCTGTGCTTTCTGAGTGCTACAGTGTGCTCACACATTTATGCCATATTAAAGGTTCCATTAAGAGGTTTTAGGCTCCTAGAACACTCGTCGTCACTCAGAAACTTGAAGTCCCCAGCGGTTTCAAAGCGGAGAAGTCCTAACCAGAAAATCAGCAGTTGATTGTGGAAATTAAGTCATTGTGTGAGCCCAGCTGGAAGGAAGACCTGGAGCTCAGGAACTATGAGGGCCCCTCTGAGAAACAAGTACCAGCTGACGTGCACAAGCGCACTGGCACACCTGAGCCCTCATACAAACACGGAGATGCACACTCACCCTCATCCCTGTTCCACACAGCCAGCACTCTGAAGATAAAGGCACTGAAGGTGGCAGCGAAGAATCCTCTCCAGTAGTTCCTGACAGCGAAGAATGTTGAGGTTACTTCTATACTGAAGAGGACGCCTGGGAGTGAAACCACACAGCACACAGTCAGAGGGGCCAGCGAGCTGCTTCATCAAAGCAAACGTACCACTCCACATTACTTCAAAATAGGTCAAATATATATGTATTAGAAAGATAAATTGGCGGATAGGTTGGTATGTTATTTATTAAAGCAAGCTTAACTCAAATTAAACACAGAAAAGAAAGCTACAGAGTAGCACCTAAAGAGATACAAATCTTTAGAATCTTTAAAAACAAAATAACAGGCTTAGGTGCCGGTCACAGAAGTGTTGATGACAGAGCCTAGCCGTATCCCTGAGTGGGCAGGCAGTGGCACTCACCTCCGATAGGCGCAGCAAAGCAGCAGCCCACCCCCACTGCGCAGGCGGCAGCCAGCATCTCGATGTTCCGCGACTCGTTCTGCAAGACAGGCGAGTGTCAGCCTACCCGCCTGACCTAGCGGGGCCAGAGCTGGCTGTCACACTGGTGATTTTCCCCTGTTAGAAGGGCCAGGTAACCCATGCTGCAGCTCAACAAGAAGCACAGGCATTTCTGCCAAGATTGACCAAACATCCAGGCCAATGTCCCACAGCTTCTCACATGCTAGTGAGATATGAATTCCCCATGTTCTCTTTACGTTATATTATCTTCCAAAAACAGAGAGAGGAGAGAGGACAGCCATTCTATGGACTTAATTCATGGTGCAATAAAGAGGCAAAGTGAGGAAATCAATAATGTCTTGTGAATACATGCTTAATCTATAAACGCACTATGAAGCCATGTGCTACTAGTGAAAACAATACAATCTACAGTATACCTATAAAACTATACTAGAATTACGAATACCTATAATGAAGTAACAGGAACAATAAAAAATTAAAGTTAACCATCATGGAAACAATTCTGAAACTGGTGTACTAGAAAACTAGAAGGAATGGTTACTGTAGGAAACTTGGCTTATTTAATAAGAAGATAAGATGTTTGTTTTGTTACCACACCTTTGCGCTGTTACAATGGAGGCTATAGTGAAAGTGCAGTAAAAATACTATATAACACCAAAGAATAGCCCAGACACAACAGAGGGTGTTGAAAGGTCGTAAAAATAGGGTTCTTTATTAAAAGGAAAATTCCACAATTTAAAGTATCGAATAAACAGATAACAAATAGAGTAGATATTCAACAGCACAGTGTCTGACAAAATACCGTTTTCATTTGCGATTCCTTGTCAGCTTTGGGATGTCTCCAAATCTTTTGTTAGATTTCACCCAGTTTCCTCCACTGCTGGTTCTGTAAAAACCCGGCAGTTCATGATAAAACCACTGAATGCCTTCTCACTTAGGCTGAGGGGGAGTGGGGAACTACAGTATATTTGCCTTGAAGCTTTCCAGCCAGGGGATAAAGAAGTGGTCTTCAGCAGCAGGCCCATAATAAGGAGAAACCCCACATGAAACAAAACCAAACCATTTGAACCGCAGCTCAGAATGTATTACTGTACATCACCATCTAATACATTCAAAACATCTAGTGCCAAACCACAAATCTCAAAAACCCATCCTCTCAGCATAGCCTCTTCAGGAACTCGGACAAGAAAGAACACACTTGTAGCGACATTCTCTGGTGTCACACCACATCACAGAAACTGACCTCCGATCACATAAATTAATACACATTCTGTGTTCAGATTAATTTGGGACCTCTGTCTTTAAGTACTGTATAATTATCTTAATCTGGATGCCTCTGCTGCGGGCTGCTTCAACAGCCATCCTTTATCATCAATGAAGGGTCACGACTGCTGGCTTATGATTTGCAGAAAACATGCTGGAAGTATCAAATGTTCCTCCCGCAGCCCAATGACATGCTGTTCAGATTGATTAGCATTTTTCAATTGCCCAAGGTATGCATCTAAGAGTGATTACACATGTGACTATGTTCATAAAATGTAATACGCTCATGGCAGATTTTTGGAAAATCTGATTTTTTTTTTTAGAAAGAACCCTTCACAGTCTGACTCTCTTCATATGCGGAATAGGGAATTCTTGCTCTGAGCCAAGGTGCAAATGAAACAATTGGGACATTCCAAACTGGGTGGGTATAATACAAACAAATCCCTAAACATTTCAGAAAATCTGTCAGACCTTGAGATTTTAATGTCTTGGTGTTCAATAGGTGAAAAAGTAAATAGTGGTAATGTGATGGAAAATCTTATCAGTTAAAAATAGCTACATATACAGTACATTTACACATTGACTAAATCAAATTTGATCAGGAGCCTGATATAGTATTTTGCCTGGTCATTTATTTTATTCAATGAGGTCTGCTCCTTGTTCCTGGTGTAGTAACGGTTACAATTCTGATCTAACACAATCATAATCTCTCTGAACACAACTGGACTGCCACCATGGAGGTCCCAATGGTTTCAGTCCTTAAACTGGTCAGAAGGGCTCATGATGCCCTTTAACAGCTGTGAGCAGGATTATGGCCGATTCTGCTTTCTGCTCTGCTCTACCAATTCAATTGTAAAATCAATGAGCAATCCCAAATCCAAGGAAAGGAAAAATCTACTTAGAACTGACTCCATTACTCTCTTATTGGTTCACAGCTTATTTAACCACATGACGATGTCAGAATAGTAGGGTTCGCACAGAGCTGCTCGGCTTCCTTACCTTATGTCCATCAAAGCTCGCCTCCTGTGATAGCACATGGGCCAGAGAAAAATAAAACTGTAAAGCTTCTGACTAAACAAGAAGGCCTTCCCTTGATGTCCTCCATTAAAAAAGCCACCATCATCAGGGTAGATTCTCCTTAAAATGCATGTTTACCTGCCCGTTTCTATGTACCCTTTCAAATCCCTTCCACAAAATATTTTCACCAGGTTGCACTGTCTGAAGCAATAAGAAATGCACAGGAATACAGAAGAGCTACTGGCATCATCTGCTCTGGCCTGTGTTGGCTCAGAAAATGTCATTTCAGACATGCAACAGAGACACATAGGAACAGTGCATGCGGTTATGAATCCTTCAAAATATTGTGACATTGAACACAACATTTCGCAACAGGATATACGTATAACACATTTACTGTACATACTTCAGTTTAGACCTGGTTAATTGGGCACACACTTAACCTTTAAAAGTAAAATTAATGTCTCTTATCAGTAACCAGAGTGTGACTGTCCTACTTGACAAGACTGGGAAATTACCAACCGTCTGGAACAACACTCTTCAGAGGAATGTCAACTACACACCTCATTCAGAGCTACAGTACCCAGCACTGTCCACCTATAATAAAGGGTAAGCTCCAACAAGGGTGACCAGTTCAGGTATGACTTTTCCTCAGAGCCTTTCCAGAAAACCGTACTGATCCACCCAACAATTTCTCCATGTTGTATCTGAATGTCTATATTTAAAGTTGTCAGGAGTGGATGTATTGTACAGTACAGTGATGGGGAGTTTCACAATTAAGAGTCAGAGAAGTCAGTGTTGAAGCTAGGGGTTAGGATTAGAATTACTGTTAGGGTTTGAGTTATGCATAGGGATGTCCATACTGCAAACCAGTGAAGGTTGCAATTTGAATTTCAAAGTGAAGAGCCCTGCATATACTGTATCTGCATTTCTCTCAAGGCCAGGGTTGACAGCAACAGTATAAGAAGTTCAATAAAACTTCACTGGCTGCAGAGACACAGACTGAGGGAATAAGCCGAGAGAGCGAGAGTAAGAGAAACAGAGACTGAGAGAGATTGTGATTGTGCTATTGATATTCCCTGTATCTGGGCTTCAACATCTCTGCAGTGAGCAAAGCTTTGCATCATTGCGGTACTGGGCCCCATGCTTCATGCATGAATATTTGATAAAGTGCGGTGTAAGCACAACTCTACGCTGCCTCAACTATAGCATAGAGCTAGCAATCTGCATTTTCTAACTGTTAAACCCTGACGGAAGTTGAACAATATATAAAAAAACACATACATATTAGTACACACACATTTCTTTAAATCAGTATTTCTCTATGTTCAACTTTGACTGAAGCCAGAACTGTATATTTTAGGATGGGAGAAAGCCCCTCCTTCAAGCAGAAATACTTTATCTTCCTCATTGTCAGAGGGCACTTCTCTCATACAATTAGCTGTCATTTTGAACTCAAAATATCCCATCACACACATATACATACTGTATGTATGGATATTAAATAATTGTGCATCTGTTTATGTACAATTGGAAACTTGAATTGTTCAACATATTATTGTAGAGCTACACTCACACAATGCAGATAACAGAGAAACTTGTGCAGTGAACAGGCAAGAATCATATTAGTACCCTGATTTTTTAGGAGTTACAGAGAGGGGATCAAAGAGCAAGCAGGATGCTAGAAACGTGTGCAAAAAATCTTTTGGAATGCAATAATATTGACATCATTATTATCGGTTTTGAAGGCATAAGCAGAACTGTAGAATTCACAGACTTAAGACTAAATTAATCATCACTCAATCTATTATATATATTATTGACAGGCATATAGTATATAATGAAATACTTTTTTAAAATGTCAATTTGCAGGTTCAACCTTGCTAAAACAATTGATTTCATAAGCATCTGTATTGATTCTGATTTTAATTTGATCATAAGGTCAGACCAATTAAACACAACATTCAAATGCAGTGTTCAACAATTTTGGATATGTTAATGATTATTGAAAAAAGTGCAAAACAGAACAATCCCTGGTCTCCAATTGGTAAGTCTGGGAATAGAACCTGAAAGTATCCTGTTATGACATCACAAATGAAGTTCCAGCAAGCCTAAAGTAACTGAATATCCCTACGCCAGTCTTCCATGGCTGGTAAGTGCAACAGGAACTATTGTATTAAAAGCCAGATTTCTATCTTTACTCAGTAATTTGAAAGTACCAAAAGATTTTAAGTTCTTTTATTGACACAGAAAATGCTTTGCATACTGGTATAATACCTTTCTACTGTTAATTATGCTTGGCTTAAAGCTCAACAACACAGGGCACACTATTCAAACACATCATAACCGGCCTAGTGACGGTTTCTCTGCTACACAGTGTCAAGAATCACCATCTCATTCACTGACATAATGGCATTATATCAGATACCCTACAATGTAGTACCTGATGACAGATCACAGAAAAATGTCAGTACACCAGCTATGACACAAATCACTGATTTTGTCAACAAGAAACTGAAGTGTCAACCTCTCGTTTAGAAGATTGATCTTTTCGTTTAGAAGGCATTGTCCCTCTTAACTATTAAGGCCTTTTTAAAAATAGAACAAAAACCAAAAAAGTGTTTATAGAGCTACTAATTGGGCTGGAATGTTATCATGGGTATTTATTTTCAATAAATTAAAAAAGTTATGAGGATAAGTTGTTATCCCTTCTGTGTGAGTGAAGAGGCACTGTGCAGTTTGTAATGTATCTGCAGAATGGTTACATCCCACAGCAACACCTGGAGCTCTTGTTGAAACACCATAGTCATAGATATGGCACGAACAGACCTATTCACAGACACTGGTTAGGTTATTAGACAATTTACTTAAAACATAATTTAATCTTCCAGTCTGTAGCCTATCTGTAAGTAAAGCTTATTAGGTTTAATCATCTGCATTCTTCTTTGGCAAAAAAAAAAAGCTGTAAATTAGCCAAAATGTACCCCCAAACTACCAACCAAGTTTCCATTAACTTTCCAAAGACTAAGCCCACAACCTCGTGTTTCTTACCTCATAGATTCCCCCAAAGAGGGACATAAACTTGCTCAGGAGAGCAGCACACAGGCTGGCGATGTGCACAAACGGGCCCTGTTAAGAGAGAGAAATGAGGGAATGAACATGAACAGAAGGGGAATCCTTTACACATTATGTGAAACACAATGACTATTTCTACTATTCTGCTGGGATAGCCTCGGACACTGTGCACCACTGCTCGAGTGCTTACTGCCTATACACCATTGTTTAAGCCCAGTTGTTGGGTGTCCTAAGCTGCTCAACTACTAAAGCATGCTCACTGGAGCTTAGGTTCAGCTCGGTGATCCAAGTATCCCAGGTTCGAGCCTGGGTCATGTCACTAGCAGCTGTACAAGTTTTGTACTGCATGTTTTTATAATGCATGTAAACCACTGCTGATACTCTGTAATGTCTTCTCCTACACAGTATGTAAGGCCCCTTGTGAGCCTTTAGAATGAAAAGTTGTGCAAACTTCTGCTACAGTCAGTTCCAGGGCACTGCAGTGTAGTCATAATACAAGAACACTGTGAAATTCACTACACTACAAGGCTGTAAAAAGACTCCAACTGCATGGTATTGTCATACATTTCAGCCTTTACTGTGACAGGATCTGAAGATCGGCACCTGAGGCACAGTTATTTCACATGTCTACATAACATTACTCTCCATACTGTACAAGCTTGATGATTCCAACAGTTGGTGTTGGCTTAAACACAGGATTCTACAGCTGGTAAAACCTGAAATGACTCACACTGCTGGGCAAGAGATGTCATCTAGCCCATAGAGAAAAATGCATTTAAGGAAAGGAGACAAGCTGGAAGTCAAAGGCTACACTGTGGGCTGATTAAGCAATACAGACAGATTTTGCACAACACTGAAATCGGTCAAGGCAAAAAAAAATGCTCTGGAATGATAAAGCCCATTTTAAAGCTCTTTTATTTTTAGCTGTGATACTAAATAGATTATTTTTTATTAAAAAAATAAGTTATAATGTATTTGTTGTGAATGATGTTTCAGTACTTTTCTTGTAAAAATGTTTTCACAAGCAGACATTGAACAACACTATTGTAGTTTGAAATATTGAAATAAAAAAGCCTGTTGCTTTCAATATCTGGTAACTCTTGTCTTCATATTCTAGCAGTATGGCCCATTATTTTATATGTAGACCACTGCAGTCCTGCTGGCACAGCCCACCCACAATATTTTCAATAATAAAAGCCTTGCATTCCACCTTCACAAACATTTATGGTCCTGCACCATGGAAACAGCACTGCTATTCACTGGTCTGCAGCAAGCACATGCTTAAAGACACACGTCAGCAAAAACTTTCATATACAGTAGTACACTCCTGGGTCCTTGTAGTGTAGAATATTTTCTGTGAAAGTGTCACAGACAGAGGCCGTTTGTAAGATTTTGGTTTTTAATCACGAGTAACTAGAATGACTTAATATTTTCACTTTGAACTTGCTTTGATCATGTTACTAACAGTCTTACTAACTCTGCTCATAATAGCCACAAAATCTTGGACAGGCTTTCAATACTGCACCTGACCTTTAAGCTACTGTATAAGCTACCTTTGTGTTAAATCTTTGTAAAAGTGATGATGTTCTTAATTACAGTAATTGCAGCATGACAAAACAACAGTAGGCCACAACAATAAAAAGACTTAGGCTTTAAATTGTACTTTCTTGACTTTTACTTTAAGCTTTCACTTTTTCCATTACAGCAGCTGATTCCACTAGATGACCACTGATGTCTGTGCAGATACTGTATGAGACCATAGAGCCAACAGCAGCTGAGGCAGCTCTGAACTAGAAGCAGGTGAAGAAGATTCAGAAGCTTCTTTTGGTTTGGATAGCACATCTTAATGGTAGTTTTCATCAGCATTCATGAAAATGCCTGTCCTGCTACTTCTTTACAGTCCTCGGCAATGATAGGATATTCAGTAGGAATGTTCTGGGCTGTATCCACAACTTTAGACAGGATGCTCCCCTCCTATGGGACATACTGTTTTCCAATTATTTTAACAGAAATAATGTATGCATAGCCAGAAATACTGCAAGCCTACAAGCCTAAATTGCAAACACTTTCCAATCTAGTAACATTGAAGTGCTACTCTCACAGTCTGACAGGTGGCAGGAACAGTTAAGAGCAGTTAGTTAGTGTAACCATACTTACTGTACATACATAGTCAATGGATATGGAATATCTCTCAGGATAGAGAATTATAATGCTGGAGAAGGTAGTCTGGGGATTGAACCCTGCACTGGCACTTCAGGCAGCTCGTTACTGCATTGCCAAAAGGCCCAGCCCATCTGTCAAAGCAGTGAACGACTGCTGCGGGCATCCTTGAAACTATACTAAAGGGCATGCACAGTACAATGGTGTTAGCTGAAGATCAACAGCAACTTTAATTTATGGGTTACTGTGAAACACGCAGAAATTAATAATGAGTGGGAAATTTTTACAAGACTTCCATTTTTAATTCTGTCAGTGAGGGTACTAATATTTACCTATAATTGTAGGTAATAATTATGCAAGAGTGTAAAGTTTGCAAAGATTTAATGCTCAGATTATGCATTAATCAGTTTTTAAGAGGTTTAATTTAAACCCTGTCTGAAAGTGTCCTGAAGTTTCTGAGGTCAGTTGGTAGTCGAAAGCATTAAAAATGAACTTTTAAGCCTTTAATACATAACTGATCCCACATGCAAGGTCTAGAAGTTTTTTCATGCCCTTGAAAGACTGCAATGGACAGTGCAACTGTGCTGAGGAGATAGCAATGGGAATCAAGTTAAACAGCCAGTTGAATCAGTTACCCATGGTACTGTTCCCTCAAAGCTGATACTTGCTCAGTTAGTAACTTTAAACTTATTTTTCCACTGCCTTTAAGGGAAATGTGGATCAATTTCTGACTCTGAGCTTAAGTTGTCCTGTTTTAAAGATGGGGGGGGGGGAGTAAGATTAATTCTGTTACTAGACACAATTGCTGGTGTCACTTGAATAATAACGCCCTCACGAGACGACCACATGCAATATTACTGGACAGGTTAGAACTGTAATGCTGTGGGTGCCCTCCCTTGTGTCAATGTCATGTTGTGTCAAGGCCATGTTGAGAAGCATCACAGTGACCTAGTTTCTGAGGTGCTTCTCCACTCCGGTTCGCTGTGAGACCCCACGGGGCCACGGCAGCTGGGCTAACGTTTCACGGACCCCGCATCCATAACAAAAGACCCCGACACTCTGTGCTTGAACGTGTAACAAAAGCCGCCGCGCTCTTTTAATTCTGAAACGCGAGCCTGTTTCCAGTGTACCTGCTTATTAATTCATTCGCAGCTCTCTCCAGGGCCGTGCCACGCTGTTGTGCAAACACCTTGTTTAAAACACCGCCGACAAAAGAGCTGGGAAGCGTGATCTAATTACTACGGCACACGCATCCCAGCGGGGATGGGGGGGTCAGCACAGCACAGCAGTCCCCTGTCAGTGCAGAGCGACCGGAGAACAGTACTACTTAATCATTGCCCCGGAGTCGGTGCGCTGTGTGTGATTAACACCAACTCTTTATAGAGGAAGAGCTCTACAGTTCAAACATGCACAGCGTAACACCTTCTGTCATCAGCACAACAGATTCAGCCACGACAAGCATTTATTGAATTTCTTCTTGGAATTAGCACTGAAATGTGTAATGAGGTGGTGCAGAACCAAATAAGGCAAAATTACCGTCATTAGTCTGTAGCTCAAAATTGATAAAAAAAGAGATACACATTAAAGGAGGAGAGCACAACAGTGAGCCAATTCTACCGCTTTTTGTCAGGTATATCCGAGCCAGTCTGGTTTAGTCTACTTAATGTGCTTCTTCAACCCTTCCTACTGTTTTGCTGTTAAAGATCAACCATTTGAAATACGCATCAGCTCTTATTCTAGAGGGTGTTCCAGCACTGTGACGCAAGATGTGATTCAAAACACTTGATCCATTATTAATTTATACCAATTAATAAATTCAAAAATAGTAATATAAATTAATAAATTAATGAATAACTCTTAGTGCTCCAGTACACTCAGCACACATCAGCTATCAGTGGGGAGGAGAACAGAGTAATGAAGCCAATTCATAGATAGGGATTATTAGGAGGCCATGACTGGTAAAGGCCAATGGGAAATTTGGCCAGGATGCTGGTGTAACACCTCTACTCCTTTTGAGAAACACCCTGGGATTTTGATGACCACAGAGAGTCAGGACCTCCGTTTTACGTCTCATCAGAAGGACAGCATCTTTTTACAGGATAGTATCTCCATAACTATAATGGGGCATTAGGACCCACACATACCACAGGGTGAGCACTTCCTACTGATCCCACTAACTCTAACAGCAACCTTTCATTTCCCTAAGAAGGGAAAAGCTCTCCCCTCCAGGTACTGGCCAGGCTCACACCTCCTTAGCTTCAGTGGACAGCCAGCTATGAGTTGCAGGGTGATACATAAATTGGTTATAAATCTTAAAATGTAAAAATGGAGCTTAAGAGCAAACAAATAGGGAAAAGAGATTTCCATTGAAACAGGTTTGACAGCAGAAAGTTTCTGTGCAATGAATTTCTTTAGCAAACTCGGATTCAGCAGACTCTGGTGACTAACAGGTTCTAGCACAGGGATAACCTTCAACAAATAAAAAGCAATAAATGACAGTGGGGAGTTATGATTTGCCACAGCTGCCCTCCCCACTCTGTAGACAGGCCAGGCAGAGACAGGAACTCTCTGCCCATCTCTCATTCCGAAAAACAGCATTCTCATTTTCACCGTCTGCCCCCCTGCCACCCAGACAGTGCGTCACTTGCCTCTATATTAAGCCCGTTCTCTTCTGTAAATCAATATTAACTCCACTGCTCTTGCACAGCACTCAACCCCACCAGTGAAAACAGGTTTAGAACTAGGGGGAAAAGATTCAGCTTCTGATCCCAAAGCTGCTCTGGGCCACTGCAGCTCAATGGCACACTTCTCTCGAGCTGATTCACGCCAGACTCCCATTACAGCAGGCCCCCCGTCACCAGTTGCTCCGTCTCTCTGAACGGCAGGCACAGACACGTTCACATTTTGACCTCTTTTCGGAGAGCAGATGGAAAGGAAATGCGATGTGAATCCCTACTTCTAATTCGGTTCTGGGTGCGTCTCGTTAGGAGCAGGCTGAAGTTGCCCTTTTTTTGCGAACAGATCATTCTGCGAGACAGTTCATACATCATAAATCCCAGCATGACTGAATATATTCTTTTTGTGCTTCCTCAGTGAGGGTTTGCCAGTTGTAAAATGCTACAACCATCAAAGCAACACAAGAGCTACACATAACGGTCATCGCAAAGCCCACCCCAGCACCCATTTTCTTACTGTGATCTCAAAGCACAATGCTTTAACAAAGATCTGTGAGCCCACAGGCACAGGGCCTGTCATAGGAGTCAACATACCCTTGGGCAAACCAAACCCTGCCCAGCTAGATCCGCACTGGACCCTAACCAGGCACAGACAGTTTTCTGAAGAACACTCGGAGATTCCGAGTCACAGCATGGTGCCATTCCATAAGGAAAGCAGCCATCTCTAAATTGTGGAGTCCCACCTCTGGGGTAAAGAAGGCCTTCAGGCGAAAATAATATTTTAATGAAAAAAAAGACATACAACTCAAGTGAGCTGCAATTCGGATCCAACCTATGCTGTATATTGTTTCCCTCATAAGATGCAAATTCCACTCTGTCTATACCATAGGTTCTAGAACCAAAAAGCTCTAGGACATCATTAAGCTAAAATAATTAATTTCACAAAAGACCTGCACTAACAAATAGCAACAATTGTAGTGTTGCACTTTTGCCCACATATTACAGTATGACCGAACAGCAAAAAAAATGCAAAGAAAGAAAAGATCCTTCTTATTACTTAAATTTTACACTGACCCTTTCTAAAGTGGCAGTTACTACAATTACACTGACATTCATTTTTACAGCTATAAAACTCCTGTACAGTACACTTGATTCAGGTATTCAACATTTTCTGGACTTTCAGGCAAGGACAAAGCCAACCCTAGAGTCCCCTTCAACATCAACAAAGATGGAAGGATCCAGGAACACAATTCTCAGAAATTGAGTGACACCCCATGTAGAAAGCTGTGTAGGGATTTTGAACAGAGGTAAATCCCTCTGAACAAACAAGGCTTGAGAAAGGTCTCTTGATCTCAGCATTAACTACTTTGCTGTCATCAGAGACTTTTTTTTTAATCTCAGAAGAAGTAAGAACATGTGTTTGTGCCAGTGGAGGGGGTCGCTACACACTCTTGATTTTGCCTTGTAGCTGACCGCACTGCCCACTGCCCTTCTCAGCAGGCACAGAGGATCTGCTGAGAGACGGGCGGAGTTCAGCTGATTAGTGGAGCTGTGTGGGTGGAAGAGAGCCAGGCTTTTACTCTTCGTGAAATGATAATAATGCAAATCTACTGCTCTTATTATCTGTTAGAGCTCTGACTCATCCATCAGCTCAACAGAGCTGTTTGCCAGAGAGAGACCCATCAAGATGCCGGCAGAACTCAGAAGCACACACACGCACATGCAATTACCCAATAAAGGAGGATGAATCAAAACACTGAAAAACGTCTTCAAATCCTTTTTATTCTTCATTGAAGATCTTTGTTTTTTGCGGTGGCAGAAATTTGGCTCATTTCCACTATTTTAACACATTATTGGTTGTTCTTGTTGGTTTAATATTCTCTTTCAGGCAGAGCATGTCATTTTAATAATAATGACTTCATAAGGATCAATAAAAACATGTAAACCAGAGCGACGTCTATGTACAGTACAGTATGTATAGCACGCATGCGTTTTGTCATCGACTGCTGAAGACTTTGCAAAAGTGTTAAATATAGCCAGATGAGATAAAGAATTTGGAGAATACAGTTCATTTAGAAGGTTAACAGAACAAAAATGAATAGTTTATGTGGGTGCTGGACCAGCAGGTGTTCTACACTGATGTCCTATGCACAATGTGGTATTGACTCCAGTACAGCCAGGAGGAAATGATACCAGGGCTCCAGCACTGGATCATCTACAGTATGTGCTCTTCAGACACGGAGTACAGTTAACTTCAGACACGGAGCAATGTTCTTTTTGGAGAGCAGTGTAGGTATCTACTTGGAGGTACAGATGTGGAGTGGTGAGCACTGCTGACTTACAATGTTGGGCTCCTGAGTTCAATTCCTGGGTGCTATCTGTGTGGAGTATGGAGTATGTGCATGTTCCTCCCTAGTTTGGATGGTTTTCAGCCGGATTCTCCCATTTCCCCCCTCAGTTCAAAAACACATTGGTAGGCTGGAGTCAGGGAAAACTGGCTCTGGTGTGAGTGTGTGTGTCTGTGTGTCTGTGTGTACCCTGTGATGGACTGGCGTCTCATCCAGGTTGTATCCTTCCTTGCCCCTGTTGCTTGCTGAGATGCCCCGGCTTCTCCGCAACCCTCAGCAAGAAGAAGCGGTTAGAAAACTGATGCATAGATACTGTAGCATCATGGTTTTCTCCGTGGTATCCTTCTTTCATGCTATGCTTGTTTAGTCATTTTCTGATAGGCGAGTCCTGAACATACAGTACGTGATCAGTAACTCTTTTTTATAGGTCTTCAAAGATTGTGGCATGACTTGCACATATACACCTCTCTGGAGAAGACCAAACTCACAAAGTTTCTGATCTTTATACTGTATACAGTGGAGCCTTCCAAACTGAGCCCTCAAGATCAAACTATTTAACTGATTGTCTAATTCATACAGTACATCATTTTGTTTTAAGGAACATAGAATGGGTTACCATAAACCCTATTGGATATTCAAATGAAAAACAAATGTTTGGATTAAAAAAGAAGGAATTGGGATTCTCAATTTTTTTTGGCATACTAGGTGCCGAATTTAAGCCGATGGCTTTGAAAAAAGTACCAGTTTGGTATTTTCTCGACTGCTGCGAGACTGGCAAGAGCAGCGCATGTGGGTTAGCGACAGCCTGACAGGGAGACTCAGAAATAAGGCTCTGATTGGGTGTTTGAGAGGGCAAGTGGGAGGCTGAGTGGAATGCAATGGGCCCAGAATAACCTCAGCACCTCCGCACAGACAGGAAGGCTGCTGAGAGGAGGAGGCCTGGCCTTGGCGGGAGGGGTGGGGGGTGGATTTGATTTTAGGAGCATCCAGGAACGGGAAACGCCAAGAGCAAGGAGAGGACACCTGTCGCCACCCGTTCTTGGCTGCCACTCTCCCAGCTCCAGGAGCGTTTCCAGCTGGCTTCTGAAAGACAATTGGGGCGCAGGCACGGATAAAAACTGGGAAAACAAAAATGTCCCCAACCCTGCATACCAACCTTTAAACAAGAACGACAAGTTCAAATTCTGTCTCCTGTCAGTGAGAGCCATTTCAGACCGGTGCACGAGAGTTCTCCTACCTCCTTGCCCAGGGGCATGCCACTGCCCAGCGCGCAGGTCAGGCCGATCACTTTGGCCACAAAGGTTTTGAAAGTGAGGTATTCTTTCAGGACCACCCCTCGCAGGATCGTCTTCATTTCTGGGATTCCCGAGCCTGAGGGAGGGGCAGAAAAAGTGAGATGGGAAGAAAGGGGGAGCGGGGAGGAAGAGGGAGAAGAGATGGAAGAACACAGAGACGGAGGGGGAATAGTGGGAATAGAGAGAGGGGAGAGAGAGGAAAGGGGGATGTGGTAGAAAGAGAAAAGGGAGCAGAAGAGCAGTGAGAAAGAAGAAAGGAGAGAAAGATTATTTTCTAATATTCAATCAGATTACATTGCGCACTGAGATTTTTGGCATCCGTTAACACATTTAAGTGTGGACTGGAAAAAAGCCTGGAAAAAAATGCCGGAGTCCTTGCATTGCTGAAAGGCATACAGTCAAACCTCAATTCAATAATTAACCTGAATGCTAAACGGACAATTTCAACAGATTTCAGGGCTGTAACGTGAAACACAGCACCTTCGACAGCACAGTGCTTTCTAGTGGTCTGGTTCACAGCCTGTTCAACACCATTCCCCTTGCAATTTAATAATGATTACATTTACAGGTTTCCAGCACATTGCACAAACTATTGACTTTGCTTGTAAGTTAATATTACAGGACAGAGGATTGGGAAAAATAGAGAAATAAAGAAAAACAAAGTCGGAGAATATTGCCCAAATAAATATCTTTTTACAATACACAATAACACAAAACATTAAGAACACATACAGTATATACAATATTACTGCATGTGTCTCAGAGGCCTCTGTTCAAACAAGCCCCGTGACCAAAAGAAAAAAATATGACCCAAGACTAAATCTTCCTACAAGAAAGAAGAAAAGCACTGTGTACAGTATTTCATTTTGTTCTTTTCCACTCCTGCTTTCCTTCTTGTTCCTTTTTGTCTTTTTATGCTGTTTCTGTGTTCAGAAGTCTAAAGTTAACTTTACAGGTTTGAACACCGTTAACTTTTTGATAAAGTTAGTTATCAAAGTGGTTTCTAGGCAAACCAGAAAACTCCCTTTGATCATCTGTACTTACTGGTCGTTCAGCCCTCCTACAGCTAGGCAAACACCTCAAACAAAACCCATGGAGGAGGACAAATAAGCAAGAACGTGTAGTCAAATGTTTGAAATACAAGAAATTGAAGATGAACATAGACATTTTCTTTAACTCAATGTAGACTTAAGTTTGGTTCACCAAAGACCAGAAACGTTGAGGAACGCCCTTCTAGATCTTCTTTCTTTATACTCTTGCACCTAAATGTCTAGAAAAACAACTTTTTTCATAAGTTTCACTATAAAATTTAATTATTTCAAATGTAATAGACAGTCTAAGACTAAGATTAAAAAAGGTAGGTGTGAGCTACTTTGCAGCGCTCCTTAAAGAGGGCTCAGCCCCTGACAGTAGTTTTGGGTACTAGCAGGTCCAGGTTGGAAGCCAGCCGGCGAACTCACCGACAGCCTGCGGAGAGAGGATCTGTGTGAATCCCGCTGAGAAGGTGATGAGAACCACGGGATAGGTGACCCAGGCCAAGTACTGCAGGAACACGTTACTGTCCAGACCCCCGTACATCCACTTCTGTGCTGTAAAACACAAGAGCCGGCCCGTGCGATTGTCTTGAAGGTTTTCCCTTCGGAAGAACCACAGTTTTATTCATTTATTCATATGATGCCTTTGCCCAAAGCCTCTTATTGATGTAGCCCTGTATAAACCCGGGCCTTTTCACTGCACAATCTGAGAGAACTGAGCACAACAGCAGGGTCCCTCCTGTGAATTGAACCCACAACTGTCCTGTTCCACATTCCAGATCCCTAACCACTTCTCCAGTGTGGCCTAGTATAATAGATCGCATGACTCAATTTCGCTCTTCTCAGTTCCTAAAATACTTGAGATGATTTATTATTATTTCTTACTAACCTTGCAGAAGGTTTGGGTTCACAACTTGCCTCATGTACAGTACAGTAAATCAACCAATTCAATGATAAGGTTTCTGGAACTGAAGTGATGGGGCCGGTACAGATCTATTCTGGGAGTGGTCAACACAATGTAATTCCAATTTATATGTGTATCTCAGTAATTCACAGGCATTCACATGTTTTTGAGGTAGACATAGGGAAGCAGTAAGAGTTAGGTGAGCCCAGTGTGAATAGAGTTCTGTTCATTAAAGGTGACCTCCATAGAGAACCTGGACTCTTGTTACTGTCAGAAAACACTCAGTTTTGTTGTGGGACGTGTATTACTGATAAAAGACTTGACACAGACATTCCACAGTGTCTGAGCTCCACTGAGCGAGCATTTCCCTTGATTAAGAAGAGAATTAATAGCAAAAAAACAGACTACAAAAATGGCAACTTAAAAAAGCAGTACGAAGTGACTTTTAGGTGAAATCTATTCTTTATCTATTCTGAATTACTATTAAATAAACTTGGCACTCAGTGCACAACAAATTAAATCACACTGAATTAATATGTAAAGTTTCTGGTACCTCTCTGCCCTAAAGAATCATTTTTCCCACTTAAAATAACTTCACATCTCATGTAATATACTGATACAATTACTTTTTTCCCCTATGCTGTAGGTTTATTATTCATATTAAAACTTCCCTCAGTGGCTATCCAACACTCAACAGTAAAGATCTATTAAAAACATTGAAATTATACTGTTCTAGGCCAAAATTCTCATTATAAGCATCGACCTTCCCAAAAAATTAAAGACTTAGAACAAATTAACTCAGAAACTATAATTTCGCCACACTCATAAAAACTTTCCCCTTGAAACCCATAACCCATAATTCTTGAAAAGTCTGTTTGATCTCGGGCCCTGTTAACGTTTCAAAAAAGAAGTCAAGGCGAGGAAGACAACCAAAACTGCAGAAGCCTATTAATGTAGCCTACAGCTTTAATTATAAAAGCTTTCCTCAGAGCTGAGCAGAACCACCCGGATGATAAATAATGGATAGAGCCCCCCCTCCTCCTCCCAGGGCTCTATTTTCAAGATATTAAAAACAGCAAAAAAGCAGTAAGCTTACACAGATACTGCCCCCGTCACAAAAGTTTTCACAGTACTCTGCTCCCAGAACTGTAATTTTGGGTATTCAGTTTTCTACTGTAAACATCTTTGTCTTGAGATATGCCAATGAAAGAGACCTCACTGCCTATTAAGAGGTAATTTTTCGACACACACAGTGCCACCTTTCTCAATGCACAAGTTCTTCTCCTAAAGACAGCCATGAGTTACCAAGCAACCAAGACTGCAGTTTTCTACTCGAGGGAAGGGACCGGTCTGTGCAGTGGTAATCAAGTCTCTAGGTCAGTTTTTATTTTCTGAGGCTTGAGAAAAAACAGAATCAAAGCACTGTCCCCTAGCAGGATCTGGTTATGTGGCACCAAAGCAAACGTGGTATTCATTGTGAGTGTAAGAAAGACCACAGACGTGAAAACTGTTTGAATATTCAGATGTATTACTGTAGATGCTATAGTTCACATGCTGCAGAGTTCACATAGACAAAATCAGATCATACAAATCCAAGTACAGTACACTTGGCAATACCCCTGTAACTTCAGTCTAGAATCACACCGAAACAATGAAGAACATGAAGATAATTTTCATTGTTCATGAGACCAAAGGGCCTCTGATTTCTGTAGCTAAAGACCAAAAATCAGGCTTGTTCATTTTTCTTGGATGTAATCAATGGATTTACTAATATCTCAAGAGAAATGTTTATCTTGTTTTATAATACACTGCAGAGAGCTAATGAGAAGCTGTGTAATTTTGATGACAACCCAACGCGTCTCCCATCGTAAAATATATACAGAATGCTCATGTTTACTCAAAATAAGCAAATAAAAAAAATTAACATTTTGGGTTACGTTACACAGGAGACTCTTCAGGTATAATGTGAAATCACTCAGATTGCTTTGCAAATACAATCTTATTTTCAGCCATGTAGCATTAGGAATAAAAACATGCCTTTGGTAGGGACCAGGGAGAGCCAAGGCAAGGTCACTGTGCACAACAGACTTGACAGCTCTCCTAATGTGTTTGGATGTGTGTTAATGAGGGTATGACTTCAATCAGCAAGGCACTCTGCCTAATCAGGTCAAGGAAAAGCTTCTGCCACATGGCTGTTGCATGGTTCCCAAAGTTGACAAAGGTGTGTAATAATAATTTCTTACACTTATATAGTGCTTTTCTGGACACTCTACAGGCTCTACAGGTAATGGAGACTCCCCTCCACCACTACCAATGTGCAGCCCCACCTGGATGATGTGACAGTAGACATACTGTATACAGTACGGTCACCACACATCTATCAGTGAGGAGGAGAACAGTGATGAAGCCAATTCACAGATGGGATTAGGAGGCCATGATTGGTACAGGCCAATGGAAAATTTGGCCAGACCACCGGGGTAACACCCCTACTCTTTTAGAAAAACACCCTGAGATTTTTAATGACCACAGAGAGCTGATGATCTCATTGCATTACCTTACCACACTCGATGAATCTATGCATTCTGCCCATGGATCCTCAATAATAAACTATTTTAAAGAAGAAGGCATCACTTAAGTCCCCGCCACGTAAGACTCTCAGTCTTTTCTTCCTTCATTAACTACTTCATTTCCTCTCTCTTCCTGCCACCTGTCATTTCTGGTCTTGCCCTACCTGGTACTTTCCTCCTCTCCAGTATCAGAATAAAAAAAAAAACAACAACATCTATCCTCTCTGGTAGTGAGCAGCTAATTGATCCAACATTTTCATCCAGTGCTTTCCTGGAAAAAACAGAGGAATCAGCTTCAACATGATTGGGAAGCTTGTCCAATACTGCAAACCCATTTCACACTCTTCCAATCTGCTCCCTTTCCCTGAGAGGCAGGGGCCTCTCACTCCCCTCTCCTTTTCCCTCCCCCTTCCTCCCATCACACCCTCTCTCACCTTGTAAACAGATGGCGATGGCGAAGTCGACCACCCAGCTGACCAGTGCCATGAGAAGCCCCAGGAGGATTAGAAAGATCCAGTCCTCGCCCACCCTGGAGATCAGGAACTTCTGACAGCGAACCGTGCAGACTGCCAAGGAATGGGAGAAGGTCAAAGTCAGGCCTGCAATGTCACTGCTTCTTTACGCCAGATCCTTAACCGTGATTCTCTGTCCCGGTTGCAGGGGTCTCCAGCACAAGGGGTCTCCGCATTCTTTCTTGCAGTATTATACTAGATACCCAAGTCTAACAGATAGGGCTTTACTGCTTGTACTGTTTATTTCTTGAAAAAGAATGGAAACCAATATAAGACACAAGGGCACAAAGAGAAAAAAAAAACAGACTTGTTCCAGTCTGATTTCAAATGCAATAAACGCACTGTAAAAGACAGATGCAGAAGTCACATGACCCCCGTGCCTGAGGAATCTCCCGAAGAAAGACCTTTCCACAGCATCTGCCCTTCTTTTCACTGCCCTAAGATCACTCTACTACTACTGCAATACTTAAGCTAAGCCAGAGGTTGATACTTTTATGCCTGGAGCTCAGGTAATGGCCTGTTTGTGGAAACATCTTGACACCATTAATCTGGTAATTTAGAATGTTTCATATCTTCCCTTCCCAGCTGAAAGGCATTAGCCTTCTCCAGCCGAGCTCCCATATGCTCATGTCAGCACTTCAATCACTCATGTACCTATGCATGTGGGAGCATTAGCTCTCAGCATTTTTAAAACTGTGGCAGTAATTGATTCCTATTGTCTTGTTTAAGGTGATCTGTGACGACAAGGCCAAGAGGTTTAGAAACAAGGAGGCTACTTTGCCTATTCTGCTTGCTTGACAGCAAGTATCTAAATTCCAAACTTCTGGAGAGACACTGGAATCCAATCTGTAAGTACAGGTTTTGTTATCACTTTATTGACATATTACTGTATTTACAGCAGTCCATCCTGAAATCTGATGAAGACCATTATGGGCAGCACTCAACATGTGTTCAAATAACGTCTTTCTAATAAATACGATAAAGGAAACAGATATATTGCAAAAAAACAAGATTATGTGCAGCAGGCAGCAATCCTGCCCTATGATTAGATCAGCTACAGTGACAAATGTATTCAGCAGACTGAAAGTGAACAACACAGTTACAGTGTAATCAAACTGCAGATACAGCAAGATCACACTCAGGTACATGATACCTGGTATTGGCATTGAAGATACAAGGCTCAACCACAGATCAACTTTAGTTTTTACTGCCAACCTTACAGCACTTCCAAAACTATCTAAAATGCTTGGACGGTTGTAGCATTTTGAAGTGCTGATCAACAATAAAAGGTTCATTCAATTAAATAGTTCAAATAAGATCTAACCAGAGATATTTGCACAGATGTGCTTCCATTCACAATTTAAAATGCCATACTGAAGGACATATGCAAATACCGTCAACTAGCCAGACACCTGACAAGTGTTTTTATTGCAAACAGTGGGATTTAAGGCTGCACAAAAAACGTTTAACCACCAAAGAGAGGGCCCTTTATTAATAAAATAGATCCTACTGCATACAGTATCACACTTTAGCAGCAAACATGAAAAGACATTCTTTTGCTCCCAGGCTCCCAGCATTATATAACATCGCGCAGAGCTCCCCTGCAGTGTGCTGTGTGGGCAATCAGCTTTCCTGCATTGTAACAAAGAAGCACAGGAGTGAGGGTGTGTGAAGGCACAGACAAGCTATCGAATATGGATTTCCTCTCCTGTAAAAAAACATTAACCATGTGGCAAGTACTGTATTTTGCCAACTTATTTGTTGGTTTGGCATATAAAGTAGCGTGTCGACATCTGCAAATTTAACATTTTCAAACTTGCTTATTCTTATTCTTAATCCAGTATGGGCTCACAGGCCCTTGGATGGAAGAAGAGCAGAGCAGGATGAAATCAGGCTGAAGGCTGTTAGGCGCCACTTTCAAATTAACTGCACCGCAGACTAGGATCGCGAGAGGAATTGAGCCTCTCCCTGCCACTGCCCAAGCACCCATGACCCAGCATTCATATCTCTACGTGGTGCTGTTTTCATATTGTAACGAACGCTCCAGGTTCTGCGTCAGCAGTGCGGGGAATGACAGGCCGAAGACAACTTTGTAGGCTTGCAGGCAGTTTCCATGACAAAGGGGCGTGCTAATCACAAAGACAGAAAGAATGTGCGGGCATCTGTTAGATGCAGAAGAAGGATTTGTGTTTCCTATTCCGATTACTCTGTTTGTGATCACTGATCCCTTAAAATGATGTAATTTTCAATAACTTAAAGCTAATGTTAATATTTTATCATATAAGGAATGCTCACTTATGTCTTTTAACCATACATACTACAGTGTCTTGCGAAAGTATTCGGCCCCCTTGAACTTTTCAACCTTTTGCCACATTTCAGGCTTCAAACATAAAGATATA